GGCGGCGGCAGCGCCTGGCCCCTGGCCGGCACCGTCCTGGTGGCCGTGGCCACCTCGCTGGGTAAGAGATGCCCGGGGGGGACGGGCGCTGGCGCTCGGTGGGGCGCCCGCTGCCGCCCCTCGCGCCCGGGGACAGCCGGGTGCCGTGGGACAGGGCCGGCGCGGCCGGTTGTGTCTGTGGGGCACCCAGTGCTGCTCCTTGCGCCTGGGGGTCCCCCCGGGTGGCTGGGATGGGGACCCGAGACCATTCGTTGTGTGTGTGGGTCCCACTGGGCAGCTGGGGTTGAGGCCCGATGCTGTTCGTTGCGTGTGAGGTGGTTGGGGTCGAGGCCTGGCGCTGCTCGTTGCATTGGTGGGGCACCCTGGCTGTGGGGTGGAGCGCCCAGTGCCACCCGCTGCCCCCGTGGGGCTGCAGCCGCCACTGGGACCGGGTCCTGCCCCAGGCGCCACCCTCAGCTCCATCCCCCTGTGGTACTGGGCGCCGATTGGGTCAGAACTGGGCCCTGGGCCCTGTGTCCCCTCCCGGCGGTGGGACCCATGGATCCACTCGGGCCCCTTTCCCTCTGCCTGGAATTGCTTTGGCCAGAGCGGTTTTCCAGGTRCCCCTGGCATAGGTGAGTGCCCCATGGGCACGACACTTGGCATTCCCCATCCGCCTGGTTTGGGATCCTCCAAGAGCTCCCTGGCCACATTTTCCGGTGCTACAGCCCCCACACATGGGCGCCTATAGCTCCCACGGGAGCTCCATGCCTTGGGAGTCGCTCCCTGCCTCAGTTTCTCCACTCGAGGCAGCCAGCCAGCAGCAAAGCCCTGGGCACTCAGCCCCGTATTAGACACTGGAGAATCCAGCCGTGCCCRTGGGCTCCTCGTGCTGCTCCGTGGGTGCCGCTTTTCCTCCCGCTTGTCCCCAGGCTATTTCTGGGCTCGCAGGTGGCACCGGCCAGAAATAGAGCGGGGAGGCGTTGCCGGTGCCGGACACRCGGCCGGGGCCGCGGAGGGGGCGGGATGCGGCGGGAATGGGGGTGGGATGTGGCAGGAACGGGGGGGGCGGGGCAGGAGTGGGGGCTGCGGGGCAGGAATGGGGGTGGGATGGGGCAGGAATGGGGCTGCAGGGCAGGAATGGGGCTGCAGGGCGGGAATGGGGCTGCAGGGCGGGAATGCAGGGCCCGGGGGCAGCGGGGCGGCAGGGGTGCGGCGGCGGCGCGAGGCCGCGGTGACGGGCGCGTGTCCGCAGCGGCGGGCGGCGAGGACTGCCTGTGGTACGTGGACAGGAACGGCTCGTGGCACCCGGGCTTCGACTGCGACTTCTTCACCTTCTGCTGCGGCAACTGCCACCAGCGCTACTGCTGCCGCGACCCGCTGCGCCTGCTCACCGAGCGCCAGCAGCGCCACTGCCTCGCCTTCAGGTTGGGGGCGCCCCGCTCTGGGTGCTGGGTGCCCCACTCTGGGTGCTGGGCGCCCCGCTTTGGGTGCTGGGCGCCCCACTTTGGGTGCTGGGCACCCTGCTCTGGGTGCTGGGTGCCCGGTTTTGGGTGCTGGCTGCGCCACGGTGGGTGCTGGGCACCCCGCTCTGGGTGCTGGGTACCCGATTTTGGGTGCTGGGTGCCCCGCTCTGGGTGCTGGGTGCCTCTCTCTGGGTGCTGGGTGCCCCTTTTTGAGTGCTGGATGCCAGCATTTGGGTGCCAGGCACTTGGTTTTGGCTGTTGAGTGCCCAGTTTGGGGCACCACATCCCCAGTTTGGGGTGTTAGGTACCTGTTTTTGGGTGCCTGACACTTCAAGTTGGGTTCATGGCTCTGCCCTCCTCTTCTTGGCACTGGGTGCCCCATGGTGGTAGTGCCAGGATTTGGGTGCCAGGCAGCAAAGTTTGGGTGCCAGGTGCCCGTTTTGGGTGTCAGATGCTTGTTTTGGCTGCACATCTCCACCCCATCCTACTCTTGGTGCTGGCTGCGCTGCTGGGTGCCCTGTTTTGGGTGCTGGGTGCCTGTGTTTGGGTGCATTGCTCTTCTCCTTGGCGCTGGCTGCTCTGCACTGGTGGGTGCAGGGGTGAGGGGGGGTACCCCTGCCACGCGCCCCCGCCGTGTCCCGCAGCCCCAAGACCGTCGCGGGCATCGCCGCGGCCGTGGTGCTCTTCCTCGCCATCGTCACCACCATYGTCTGCTGCTTCATGTGCTCCTGCTGCTACCTGTACCAGCGGCGGCAGCACCTGCGGACGCCCCTGCAAGGTGGGGGGCACCGGGGGGCAGGCGGGG